ATGATTCAGGTTTTTTTATTACTTTCTCATAAAGTTGATGTTTTATAAATATATAGTAATTTTACATTTTTCCTTCATCACCTTTAAAATACATTTAACTGTTGTCAAATCATGGATTATGTCAAAATTATGTGAATAGTAGATATCATTTACCTTCATAAACTCTGCAAATAGCAATAGCTAATTGAAAATCATCTAAATATTTTAAACACACATTTGCAGCATCCTTTAATTTATCACCAAGAAGGAAGAACGCAGCCGCATATTCTATAAAGTTCGACTTAATTTTGTCATTCATTAATAAGTGACAAATTTTTTCAAAATTATACATACCATATCTTTGTTTTCCCAATAATGCATATGCATTCTTTAAAGCTGCAGTCTTCCATCTTGGTTCGTCAAAATTATTTGATAAAAATTTTAGCATCACTGCCTGCTCTCTATGGTTATTGGCTGTTCTCCATAATCCCAGCAGTAATTTTTTCTTTCTTAATGCCATATAAAATAAAGAACAATCTGTTGGATCTCTTTCTTCTTTTTGCATATAATGATTACGAGCTATAATTTCCATTTGTTGTCGCTATTACAAATTAAACAAATTATTGCGGGTATGTCGAACGTTGACCTTTAAATGTGATACATACCACGCTTTCGTTACTTCTAAGCCATAAGAAGATCCCATGAACTCTTGCATCATTCCATAGAATCTTACCACCCGACGCTACTATACTATATTCAATTAACAAATCCTATAATCATATAACAAATTTAGAGATATTAATATTTAAATAAGGAAAGCATAAGAACAAACCTGAGAATCACTATGTAACGCCCAATTCATATCACGGTAACTTAATCCAGGTACTCTGAAAGTGGCTCTATTCAGATAATGATACCTTCTCATGAATAATACGTATCGAACTCCATTTTCATCTAAACTTCTTTTTTGGCTTTCCACCTAGAACACATGTATATTATGAAAAGTTTTTAAGACTAAAGGATGGAAATAATTAATCATATTTACCTGAATTAATGTATCAACTAAGGCAAGTAGCTGTGCTTGTTCAACAGATGTTAGTTCTGGTAAGGAAATAACTTTTAATTGTTCACTTAAGAAATTTGCTGCTTCTTCCGTAAAATCAAGAATAGATTCTTGCGAGCTGTAAATTGGAAAAAGAAGTGGTTGATTAAGTTATATTAAATACAAATTAAATTAATTATACGTACTCATCATCGTCACTATCCTCTCCAAAAAGAATGCTATATCGACGGGTTTTCTTTGATGCTGTTGACTTAAATAACAGTTAGCATGAAATTTCTTAAAACATATATTCTAATCGCAACTATTAAAACAAATACATACAGCATCATCTTCAAGTATCATATCAAATGGTACAGGAAGAATTCTCGAAATAGGCCTATTAGCACCAATTAAAAGTTTAAGGTATTTACAAAGGCGTGCAAGTATCTGTTTTACCAATTCCATTTTACCTAGTTTTTTATAAAACAGTAGTCTGAATATAGTGTCCTAAACCATGTTAACAAAATAAGTGACTTAATTACCCCATAAAATATGTTGCAATAATAAAGTTGGGTGATGATGAGGTAGTGGGCCATTTAAATGATCAACAACATGAAATAACGTAGGAAATTGTTTATTTATCCCTATAACTCTAGACACTAATTATAACAATAATAATTTTATTACTAGTTAATAAAAAAGGAAAAGTAAGAAACCGAACGTATGTTATTTAAAGAAAAGAATAAACCTTTATCAATATTCTCATGACTCAACCATTTGTTATAACATCTTAGCTGATTTCCGTTAGCGACAATAAGCGAACCTCCGCTACCCCATAATATTGCAGAAATTGGCAATGGCGAGTTACTATATAATTATAAAAAACAAAATAAATATAATTCACCAATAAACAAATTTTCGCATGCTTTTTAGACAAACCTCAATATATCAATCTCCGAAAATAAAATCCAACTAGTTCTGACGGAAACATGATGTTTTCGCACTCGAGTATAAATCAATATTTTTCGTGATGTTGCAATCGCTAATATAAGCTCAGCATTTGATGTAAATAACCAATCTACATTAATAATCCTCTCGCTAATTGTATAAAATATAAAAGCGCTATGTAGCAATAATAATCATAGATAATAATAATAATAATGAAACAGATTTAACATACCTAAATTCTACAATAAAATCTTTAGTAGGCGGTAATTTCTTAGTGATACAACCCCATATAGTCAATTCATACCCATTAGAAGTTTGCAATGCTGAGGGCAAAGAAAAAAATTTAAAATTTATAAAACATTAACAGCTCACACAAGCAATATTCTCCAACCACATACCAACAGCAATTTTCCCTTGAGGCCCACATTTAATAATTTTCGGTTCTTCTCCAACAAAAAATTTTACTTCTTCTGCCCAAATCTTCTCTGCTGTTTGAGATTGCATATCTGTTTTCTTATCCAAATTACATTGCCAATACCTAATGTAACCATCTTCGGAACTAAAAGTTGCCAAGACTGGGTGGTATCGATTCTGCGGTAAATGACTTGTATTTGATCCGGTCCATGGTTCAACTGATACTGCTATTGTAGTTTTAATGTCCAACTGAAGTGACGCCTTAGAAATAAATACTATCTGTTGGGATGATGTGACTGAAGGAAAAATGTAAAATTACTATATATTTATAAAACATCAACTTTATGAGAAAGTAATAAAAAAACCTGAATCAT